GGCGTCGCGCTCGGCTATGGTCACCAGCATGGCCTCGATCCTGGACGGCGGCGACTACCGGCCTGAGCTCTCCATCCCGCTGCACCACGCCATGAGCATGTCCTGCGACTCCTCCCCGCCAGGCATGGGTATGAGCAACACCTACACCACGCTGACGCCGCTCCAGCCGCTGCCGCCCATCTCCACCGTGTCGGACAAGTTCCACCACCCGCACCCGCACCACCATCCGCACCACCACCATCACCACCACCACCAACGCTTGTCGGGCAACGTCAGCGGCAGCTTCACCCTCATGCGCGACGAGCGCGGGCTCCCGGCTATGAACAACCTCTACAGCCCCTACAAGGAGATGCCTGGCATGGGGCAGAGCCTTTCCCCGCTGGCCGCCACGCCGTTGGGCAACGGGCTGGGCGGCCTGCACAACGCGCAGCAGAGCCTGCCCAACTACGGGCCACCGGGCCACGACAAAATGCTCAGTCCCAACTTCGACGCGCACCACACTGCCATGCTGACCCGCGGCGAGCAACACCTGTCCCGCGGCCTGGGCACCCCTCCCGCGGCCATGATGTCACACCTCAACGGCCTGCACCACCCGGGCCACGCTCAGTCTCACGGGCCGGTGCTGGCGCCCAGCCGCGAGAGACCACCCTCATCTTCGTCGGGTTCGCAGGTGGCCACGTCGGGCCAGCTGGAAGAGATCAACACCAAGGAGGTGGCCCAGCGCATCACTGCTGAGTTGAAGCGCTACAGCATCCCGCAGGCCATCTTCGCGCAGAGGGTGCTGTGCCGGTCTCAGGGGACTCTCTCCGACCTGCTCCGGAACCCCAAACCGTGGAGTAAACTCAAATCTGGCCGAGAGACCTTCCGCAGAATGTGGAAGTGGCTGCAGGAGCCCGAGTTCCAGCGCATGTCCGCCTTACGCCTGGCAGGTAAGCCCGGCAGCCCCCGGGGCCAGGCTGCTGGGGAGAGGGCTCCCGGTGCTGGAGACTGGGTCAGGGCGCCCATCCCTTCCCCTTGATTCGCTCCACTTCTCCGCTCTACACTTCCTCTTATTTTTCCCCCCATATTTTCTTTTTTTTCCCCCATGTTTTCCTTCTCTTCTCCTTTTTCATATTTTTCTTTCTCCCTCATCACCCCTGACCTTTCATTGAATGACCCCCCCTCTACATCTTTCACTTGCCCTTCCCCCAAAGTGCCAATGTTTGCCTTCTCTTTCTGACCTTCCTCCGTGGTAGGAGGCGGGGTTGTGAGTACGCCGCCGTGTCTGCTAGGAGCCCTCTTTTTAGGGCTCAAGGAAACGGGGACTGCTTTTATTTTAATCCCCGCGCGACTGAAGCCTTTTGGAGACAATACATTTTCGTTTTCCAAACACCTAGTCTATCTATATGGAGACAGTTGAGGGGTTTTTGCTTTTTAGAAGGGAAAAGCATCGCTCCCACTCGCCTACCCACCACACCAGGCAAACTTCTTTGGCCATAGCCTTGCCCGGAACAGAAACTGGAGGCTAGAATAGCCCATCTCGGGCCTTGAGGTTAGCGCGGGACGTTCTACTCAGGCTTGACCGAAAGCGCGGGCTCGGGATAGCACCGGTATTCATGCCCACGCCGAGCGAAGGGTGCGGGGAGAAAGACTGGGACTGACACCTTCACCGACTTTGGGGAGGATGGAGAAGAGACAGAGTGGAACATGCCCAGCCTCCTAAATCGGCCGCTTTGGCCCGGCTCTCAGCGTTTGCTGGGATTTGCTGGAGCTCCCGGCGAAGCTAGGCAGTCACGGTTGAGGTACTGAGAAATTAAGATGCAGGTTAGTTAATGCATCTCTGCCGTGGGCTGCAAGCTCCGCCTTTGCATTAAGCGGGCGCTGATTGTGCGCGTAGAGCGGCTGCGGGGAGGGCGGGCGGCTCTCGGGAGGGGACGGGTAGACGCGTTCCTTACATTGTTCTGGGGCCGGCTTGGCTCTTTGTGCCTCCTCTAGCGGCCGTGTGGTGAGGTACAGCCCTCTATTGTTCTTGAAGCACAGAAGCCTCCTGTGTGGGCTGTTAGTACTGGAGCGAGAAGGAAAACAGGCAGCAGTGGCTGCAACTGGCACGCATTTGAGCGATTTTGTGCGCACAGACACAGGGCGGCACGCGAGGTGACTACATTGCTCCCGGAACCCAGCCGCCCGCTCAATGGGGCTAAGTGTCCAGCCCGTAAACCCCCTACCCCCCACCGAGGAAGGTAAACAATACACTACTGTAGGAGCGGTGGGTTTACTCCTTGGAGACTGGGGTGATCTCTCTGGATCGGTGGACAATCTAGGGGACAATTCATGGTGGCAGTGATTTGCATATGTGTTGATATCGGGGTGTGCGCGGTTCCAAGCCAGCTGCGCACAGCACGCCTCCCAAGAGGGAACGTCAGGTTCCCGCTGCCTCTTGCCCATGGCTCTCCTCGCACTGCTGAGTCGGGCTTGTGGGATGCACGCTAGGACGCCTGTCTGGGCGGAGGCTGTGACAGGGGCTTGGGGAGGGGGCGTTTCTGTTCTGACAGCCTCTGCTGTTGCCCGCTGTTTCAGGATTCCAATCTCCAGCTAGTCATCACCCTCAGTATTGATCCAAGAAGGTCAAAATAAAACTGCTTTTCCCAAAGAGCTCCCCCTCCCGCAAAAAAAAAAAAAAAAAATCAGTGGGCTCTGGATGCTTTGGTGTGGGTTTGGAAATCGACGTCTTCGTCTTCATTCTTTCTCCTTGAACTTACTCTTCATCCTTTCCCACCATTTTATCTGATTTGTTTGTCGGTTTTTTGGTTTTGTTTGTTTTTTGCAAAGATTAAGTAGTAAACAGAGAGGAGTAATGAAAAATAAACTGGGAGACTATTTACCCATCATTCTGAACAATGTGTACTCCTTTCTCTTTGGCCCCAGCAAAAAGCCCCAGGCCCCCTTGGTCAAGCTTGAGCAGTGGCTGCCTTCCTGGACACAGGGTGCCAAAAGGAAGTTGGCAGCTGGTCTTAGGGGTACATTTAAAGGGGAAATGACAGCTCTCCTACTTGGGCCCACCTCAGAACGCTGCCGCCCCCTCACGCCTGTAGAGCAAAGGACAGAGCTTTTAAAAGCGCTTTTGCCTTCAGCCTGTGTAGGTTTGAATATGATGGAAAAGAAAATAGAACTGCTTTACCTTTTAGAGCCCTCAGCCTTTATAATGGCTCCAAGCATCACTGAAGGAACATGATGGCACAAAGGACTTAGTGTTGGCTGTTTGCCTCAAGGTGGGCTGTTCAAACCCGCTAGTTATTCTCTGACGAGAAAGATAAGGCTGCCTGCTCCTGTAAACATTTAATCTCAAAAATCTGAAGCAATGGTTCTTTCCTGACCTATAGAGTTCCTATGGTTTGTAATCAACTGGATGGCAGTGGGAAGTATTACTGGGATGAGGGAGAATGTAGCATCCTGGAATCTCCCACCCTGACACACCCTGGAAGTCACTGAGTGAACCCCCAGAGAGCTGGGCCCATGCTGTGGTTCAGAGAAGAGCCCACACCTAGCCTCCAGAGATGAAAGTCCTTCAAACCCACTGCCCTCCAACCCATTTTGACTCAGAGCAGTCCCC